GGATAGTTTGCATAAAGACTTACAATAGAAATAATTTCGATTTCAATAAATGGTCAAGTGTATACCGACGAGTGAAGCTTATAACATCGATTTCTTTTTTTAGTGAAATAATGAAATATAAAACGGGTAAACCAATATACAAAATACTGATTTAACAAGATTCTCCAAACTACAAAATGACAGTTGACACGAATTATTTCGATTTTAATTAAAAAGATATTTTTTTTCAAAGCGATTAGTCAAATGCAAATTTGTCAAGTTTAAATAGGTGACGTGGTACTCACCGGAGGAGTTATGTGAGAGTAAGCCGCGTAGGATCATACGATTATTGTTTCAACGTGAACTTCTGACCTGCTTTACATGACCCACAATGACCAGCCGATCAAACAGTATTTTCTATGTAAGACTCAATGAAATTATCCATGACAGAGTCAATGATAACTACCGCTCTCTTGGACATTTCTCTGGAGAAATTCAATAAAAAAGCGTTAATAGTTATAAACAGAGAGAGAGAGTTTATCAAAACGGAAATAATTCAATTCGTTTAATTAATAAAGCATTACGTAATTATTAATTATTAATTTCTCAGTGATTGACACAATTATTTAGGGACAGTTAAACTATTTTTTTAAAAATATAGAACCTCGATCTTCAAATATAATTTATTAATTAAAATAAGATTTTTAAAAAAAAATAACTAAAACAGGCCTTTTTACTATATTATTTAAAAAAAAAAACTAATGAATATAATACATAATTTTAATTCTCATTCTAAACCTATCGAATATCTTTTTTTAAATGCAAGGTAATCTTTTACAGAACCTACATGATTAACCTTTCTTCTAATAATAAAAAAAAAAACTCTTAATAAAAACTATTAATCCTACAAATATTAGAGTAGTATCCCTTGACAGTTTCTATTCGAATGTATTTTGTGTTGATTTTCGTTGTGAAAATAGTTGACTTTCTAAATTAATTACATAAGAAAACAATCTATCGCTGTGTATATTTATTTTAAAAAATATTATTACAATACTTAGAATAGGTGTTTCTGGTTAAATAGCAATTATTAAATTATTTCTCATTCTAAATCTTTGGCTATCGAGTTTCAAGGGTTTTTAAAGTTAATATTATGAATACATTGACTTGACGAAAATGATTATATACACTTAAATACATAATAAAATTTACTTTTATTAATAAACCTACACTATTTTATGCACACACACACAAAAAGAATATTTAAGCGGCAGGTACAACGTCAAAAAAAAAGGAAACTTCTTTATACTGAATAGTTCTACCTAACAACAAAAATGTAAAAATACACAGTCTTAGAGCACACTAGCACATACATATATACATACGAACATATGTGTGTGTGAAAGTAGGATGTGAGGTAGGTAGACAGGCGGGGTGGAAGGAAAGCTGTTTGGCAGGAATAACGGCAGGAAGGAAAGTAGGTAGGCAGGCAGCAGCACAGGCAGGTTAGTAGATAGGTAGGTAAGTAGGCAGGGAGTTAGGTATGTAGATAGGTGGGCCTAGGTAGGAAGGCGCCTCACTCGGCATAGAGAGCGATTATAGTAGCCCATCATATTCATAGCGTTTCGCAATTATTAAAACGAACTAAGCTACCATAGTATTCACGGGAAAGCCCGGGGAGCTAAATCGAACCCTGCCGGGGCGCCACCAAATCGATTTTTTTTTCACAGAAACCACCACAGGGGTATTAGCAATAGCTTCTAAAATTTGAATGACAAATGAATGAAATGTTTGGTAATGCTTAAACAAACAAACCCACATATTCGTTTTGGGGCGCGGGTTTTTCCACACTGCCGCCTAGACGCACTAAGGCGTACTATATGAAAGCCTTGAGTGTGCGTTAATCAACCCCTGTGATAGTGAGGTAGAATACACATCGGCCACCGCCCACCTATTAGAGACGCGTTCCTTGGTATTCCAGCGAGCCACTGGTTACACTACCGCAGGGGCGCTCCTAATTCGGTTTAATTATCAAATGTCGTGTGCCACCGTGTCCCTATGGTAGGTTTCTCTTTAAAAACAAAGTAGGCTTTCCTGGTAGAGTCCGGGGCTCTCGCTGTCGCCAACTGCCAGGGCGGCGGCGGGCGCTCATTATTCTACTAAGTGAACAACTATAGTAGCCCATCTAAACCGTAGTGTCTCCAGGGGAAGTTCTTGGCCGCTCTGGGTCACTCAATCGCCGGGGACCTGGTGTAGTTTTACCACTGAATCTCCGAGGCCCGGTGCACAGGGACAAACGTTCAATTCGGCGCCCCACCCCCCTATATTTTTTGTATTTATAATGCAAAACTGTAGTTAAAATGAGCTTTTAATTTTTTCCAACCCATTTTGGCACCGGGTTTCTCGTCTCATTCCTACTGCGGATCTTGTCTGGTGACGATGTGCTACAAATTCCAGCGGCGATTAAGTTCCCTTTGTATGACTACAGCACTGACTCGCAGTTGTTTCCCTTTAGGTAACATCTAGTTTACTTATGAAAATGTTAAGCTGTAAAATTGTATAGACCACTCCATGGAACTAAGTCCGTATTATGTGTGTTCTAGAACCTTCTCCATGCTGTCTGGAACATTCTGCCTGTTGACCGTGTCCGGCCTGACCCACCTGATGTTCACCAGAGGTCTACTGGACCTGAAGTATGACGTCTTCAACTGCCACAAGAAACGATCACACAAAGGACACGATTTGATTGACAGGGAGAAACCTGAATTGTTTAAACAAGAGCTGCTCAGTTCTTCTCCAACTTGAGGCTCTCTTTGGGTTGAACAATAGTCTTAATTTTGTTCTATGATGAGGTTATGTTTACGTTAAACAAATAATGCAGAACTCAATACAAAGTTGAGGTCCTGTTAGGGCACTATTATTAAGTTATATATATAATCGGTTTTTGCTTTATATACTTATTTTTGTATTAGATAAAAATCAAACTTTTAAGATATTTCTTTAATGCAACCGATTTCTTTTTCAGGCATTGCTTAGCCAAATTTCATGTGTATTCAATAGAGCTGTGTGTTATAAACAAATACACAAATGTTCCAAACTTTTTAGTACAATGTTGTGTCTCCTTTATACAACTAAAAAATCTAATTCACACCGTCTTTTGCATCAACGTTTAAACATAACTGAACTTAGATTCAATTATTGTTAAACCTTGTTTAAAAATACAGTTTTATACTAATAATTTCACCTTAAATAATTTCCTTAAAAACTTGCATTGTAGGTACATTAGAATTTTACTTTCCTGGCAAAGTGTTTCACTTGTCTGATCTTTGGGTGTATTACATCTGTTAAAAGTGCTATAATAATTGGTGTAGGCTCCCATTTTAAGAATACAAAACTGTTATGCCACTATACATAAGCATATTTTATATTTACATGTATATACAGTACATGAATATACATGCACATATACACAATTGAGTGTACCTCTTTTAATACATTCTTTTAAATGGAAACCAAAAAATACCAAAGTTAACCGTGTTATGTACTACTAAAGTTGGTACACTAATTTTATTGTGTTGTAGGCCTATGCGTATGCTAAGTTAAATTAGCTTCAACCAATTTATTTACCGTAAAATTACAATACAAATGTAACACTATCGTGCCATGACTAATCGGTTAGAGTCTGTTCTACTTTAAATTTTACTGATGTCACCATCAGTGTTCGTGGTCCTCAATCAGTAACCCTACAACACCCAATCTAAACAAAACATATCCTCCGAAATTCGCCCTCTCAAAACACTATTACATAATTATTTCTAGCATCTAAATCGGCATTTATAAAACACATTGAAAATTAATATAAGTTATCTAGATTTAATACAAATATGAGAGTACTTTATTTGACAGGAATAAGAGCAAATATGTGCATATTAAATTCAATAAAAAATTCTAATGAAATCATTAAACTAAATTTTGTTTAAAGTTGAAGGCCAAACCGTATTAGATTATAATATTTTTTATTTACTAATAAAATGTTATAATATTGTACTTTTGAACATTTAGTAAAATCATGTTTATCTACCATAACAAAAAGGGAGATAAGGTTAATGAAAACAAGATTTTTAGCGAACTGAAAATAAAACAAGCTTGCTTTCTTAGTAAAAACAGTTCAAGTAATAACTAAAATAATATTCATTTAAGTTCAGATTGAGATTATCTTTCAATTTTTAGGGACGGAAGAATTTGTAAATTACAAACAAAACTGCTGGATTAGAAGTGTCTAAATTGATTTACAAGATTCGCTACAAACTCACAAACAGCTATTTGTTGCAAATTCATAAATTATCATTCATCTTGTGATCAGTCGTTTTGAAATACTGATCTGGTTTTAAAGAAAATATTTTTAGTTCCTTACAGTAATGATTTAATTAATAACTATTCGATTAAAAAGATGTTTAACACTTAATTCTCTAAAATCGGTTATTATTGGTTGTTTTAATAAAACAAATGTATTATAATGTATTCAATTTACACAAGCTACATAAACTTTTTTTTTCAACGAAGTGAACGAAAGGCAATCAATATTTGTAAATTGACCATCAGGAATTTAACCCATGCTACGATTACCTTATAGAACTATTCAGTTTGAGTGTGTGCGTTATCGCACACTTTGAGAACCACTGATATTTTTGAACGTTTTTAAGTTAACAACCGCAACTTGCATACTACATGTTTTAGTTTAAAAAAACTAAATGATTACACTTGCAACTATCATCATGGCACATAGGCCAAGACAACTTAAAAATTACCCCCCCCCCTCCATACTATTAAATTAATGCCTACTTTCAAGTAAAGGCTAAAGACTTATATTACATACAAAATTTACTAGCACTAAGAATAATGTAGCACGGACTGTGGACTACATTTAACATTCAGACAGACAAAATGTATTAAAGAAGTTAAGTTTTAGTTGTATACTTTACTTAAGGCGCTACACACACAATAGCAGCACTGCTAATGGACATTCATTCAAGGGACGAAACTACACGCTGGATTGATCAGGGGACACAACTATCTACAGCTGCCCATGCACAACTCTAAAGTTAGTTATGTTCCAACTAGAAAAAAATGATCTGTGTTTTTTGAAATAGTTAGAGAATGTAACAGAACTTTTAAAATTTTAAATATTATTATTTATGTAATAATAAGTTTTTGCAAAATATATATAGTGTCTTTTACTGTTTTCTTCTTCCAATTAGATTGCGTTGCTTCACCAATTACTTCTAAAGAGTTGTGCCGCACGTTTAACCACGCATCAAGTCCAGCCATGTCCGTCAACATCCCGTGTCTGGTTGCTGTCATCATCCTCTACATCCTCATCCTCATCATCGGCATCATCGCTGCCAGGAAGACAAACAAAGCCAAGGACACGGAGGAAGTGATGATAGCCAATCGCAGCATGGGGCTCTGGTTGTCTTTGTTCACTCTCACAGGTATGAGGTCACCCTTAAACATTCAAATTCATAGCACGTACACACACCTACGCAAGGGGGAGGGAGGTTTCAGAAAACTATGTGGAGACTGCGTTCTGATATTTTGGGTCTCCTATTTAAACTACAGAAATAAAATGGTAAACCTTAATAAGTTGAAAGTTTGCGAGACTGACCACAATTGCAAAAAGTAGACATAAAATTGAACTTGTTGAAGATTTCTTTATAAGGAGTCATAATTATGTATGTATGTGTCGAATATACGTTGGCGTCGTTAAATTCATGTTCATGGATTTTTAGGATTGCTGTACAAGGTAACGTTGAATTGGATTTTGAGGGTATGTAATGGCTCTACATCCTAATCTGTAGTTGAATGTTGTATAAATGTGAAAAAATACTAGTCTAGTAGGAAAATATTCTAAAAAACAACACATCATTTTATGTCAGAAAAAAAGGTTTTCGGATTTTTAAATGCTGATAATCAAATCATAGACCGGTAAGTGTTTACTTATAAAACTAAAATTTCAAAAATCTTTACACTAATTATATATAAATGCACTGAAAATAAGAAAATAAAACTTGCTTGCTTTAATAAAAGTTTTAGTCGTTCATGACCCCTATATATGTTTTTGAACAATGCTTTAATACAAGAAAGTAAGTTTTTTTTCTTATTTTTCCATTTATATATTTTTGTTATGAAGGATTTTTATATTAATTTATTTAAATTCTCTTCAGCAACGATCGTATGTGGAGGTTACATCAACGGAACAGCCGAATACACAGCCTTTTATGGGCTCTTACAGACCCAAGCACCATTGGGCTTTAGTATCAGCACATTCTTAAGTAGGCAAACAATATATTGTTTACTTCTTCTGTCTCTTTGTTCATGCCATAATATCATAACAATTTTCTATTACTATAATACATGTTTTTCTTTATAAGTTTTATCAATTTATTAAACTTTAGATTCTCATTAATAACAGACAATATATTAATTTACTTGTGTGTCATTTGAAAAAAAGAAATTAAAACAGTAAAGATTAAACATTTTTTTGATCATTTCAAAGCTGCGATAAAAAAATAATAATTAATAAACAACGTTTTAATAACAAACTCTTATGTGATGATGAACTAAAAAGTAGAAAATAAATTATACACTACTATTTAAATTACTATAAAGAAAAGCGTGTGTCACATTAGTATCTATTGGATACCTTTACTAATATTTAGGAAGAGACCAACTTAGTCAAATTCAATGTCATGTTGCATTGGCTTCATGTCTTGACCCACGTACCAACTACTAACCGTATCTGTCAGTTAGAAGTGCCTGAATTTCGCTTGGGCGTTTCGATATAGAAAGACAGACTGTCCACAGACAGGAAAGTGTGTTAAATAAAAGCTTGTAAAAATGATTTATTCATCAAAATTTAAAATAAAGGCCCATGTTTTATTTTTACCTTAAATAAAAAATAAACAGGTGGGTTGGTTTTGGCACCAAAAATGAGGAGACAGAAATACATCACAATGTTTGACCCGTTCCAGTTGAAATACGGCAGGAAGATGGGGGCGCTGTTGATCATACCTCACATGATGGGGGATCTGTTTTGGTCGGCGGCTGTATTAGCTGCTTTAGGTAAAGTTTGCCCATCTTATATTCTCTGTCTTATCTGCATTATGTATGGTTTTGTCAGTTTACTGTTTGTATCTTTATAATTAATGAACTTGAGGACAGAACTAATCCTGAGAGAAGTCGTTTATTTTTCTTATTTCTTTCAGGAGGTACAATATCGATTATTGTGGATATCGATCCTACAATCTCAATCATCGTGTCCTCGTTGATCGCTATAGTCTACACGTTCCTCGGTGGTCTGTACGCTGTGGCATACACTGACGTCATACAGATGGTGCTCATCGTCATAGGTCTGGTAAGTGACGTCATACAATTGGGGCTCATCGTCGTAGGTCTGGTAAGTGACGTCATACAGGGTTAAACGTCATAGGCAAGCGGCGTAATTCATACACTTGTTGCTGATGGTTATAGGTCAGATGAATGACAATACAGATGGAATAAATTGGCGTTGTGTAATTTTAAATATCGATGCAGCATTAGGACCAATACATGCTGTAAAAGTTTATAGCTTATTTGCCTGAAATTAAAAGCAAAATGTATAGTGGGATAATGAAGACTTTAACATATCCCCCCATAATGTTTCTTGCAGGTGATCGCATGTCCTTTCGCCATGACGAGTGAGTTTGTTCACCTGGAGAATATAACGTCTACTTGGCTGGGGGAGGTGGGGGCGGGGACAGAGCTGGCCTATATGGATATAAGCTTGTTGTGTATATTTGGAGGCACTACATGGCAGGTAGGTGGCAGGTAGATATAGTACATGACAGGTAGGTGGCAGATAGGTAGCAGGTAGGTGTCTGTTAAACGAGATCGCTAAATAACAAGTTAATCACAATACACAACACAATGTTAAAAAAAAACATAAAGGAAGATAGAAACATGTACATACACGTGGCTATTTGGAGCAGCAGCATGTTTGTCTTTACAATAACTATTCCTAAGTAATTTTATTTTGAAATTAATTGTAAGAAAATTATATGTATAGCCTACTTTCCCCGACTGATTTTATCACCACACAACAAGCCGTTCTGTCAACAGGCTTTCTACCAGAGAGTTCTGGCATGTAAAGATCCCAAGGTCGCCACGTATTCCTCTCTTGGCGCCTCAGTGATTGGATTCCTCATGGCCATCCCACCTGCACTGATGGGATTTGCTGGGGCAGCTGCAGGTATAGTGACAACTTATCTGTGGTACATGATTGGGGCAGTTGCAGGTAAATTTACGTAACAACTTACCTGTGGTACATGATTAGGGGAGCTGCAGGTAAATTTACGTAACAACTTACCTGTGGTACATGATTGGGGCAGCTGCAGGTAAATTTACGTAACAACTTACCTGTGGTACATGATTGGGGCAGCTGCAGGTAAATTTACGTAACAACTTACCTGTGGTACATGATTGGGGCCGCTGCAGGTAAATTGACAACTTGCCTGTGGTACGTTTTAAGAACATTTATTTAAATCTTGGGGACGGAGTGGTTGGATGTTAGACAACATGGATGCTAATTCAAAAATTTCGAGTTTGGATACCGGGCTCGAGTTGTTGTCCCTGAGACCACCTAGCTCTGATGGGTACCTGACTCACCTCAGGGGAAGTGAAGTCGGTTAGACGTAGCGCTGGCCACGCAATGCATTCTTACTTCATGGTCATAGAAGCATGGGACCCATGGACCGCTAATTGCGAAAGGTTTACGTTAACTATTCATCAAGACTTTCGGGAAGAATTAATTTTGTATACAGGTTAAAAACCCTATTTTTTTTTATATGATCAATTAAAGGGGAGTAAATATCCAAGCCTCTAGACAAACAGGCCGTACATAGACGAAATCACATACTTTTACTGGCTGTGTTTGTGAAATATAAAAGATTTTATTTTCTCATCAAGATAAAATTTCAATATGTTGACCTTTCCAGACTGGAACCTAACGTCATACGACGGCCCGATACCAATACCAGACGACAGGAAAAGTTACATCCTGCCCATGACCTTGAACTACTTGGTGCCACTTCCGGTTTCAATTATCGGAATGAGTGCCATCTGTGCGGCCGTGATGTCATCGGCCGACTCGTGTTTCCTGTCTGCAGCGACGGTGTTCACTAGAAACATTTACCAGGAAATTATCCGGACAAAGGTTTGACGTGTTTCTACAGTATGGTTCTGTTTTTAACTGATACAGTCGTAGTTTGTTAGTGTCTAATCAAGAAAACTTGTTTACAAAAAGAATAATTAATGTAGTAGGCCCACAACTCACACAGGGAGCCCGTGTAAAACTAGGACAACACTAGAGAATATAAAATATAACATCATATATTATACATTTACTCAGGGCACGGATCTAAAACTAGGATAACGTTTAAACCAATCAGTTATAAAATTTCACATAATCTCAAATAGGTGACAGATAAAGAACTGCTGTGGGTACTTCGTGTTTGTGTCGTCATCTTTGGTGTGTTGGGGACAATGATTGCCATTTTTGCTACAACCATCTACGGGCTTTTTGTTCTGTGCGGGTAGGAAATTTATTATTTCTATTTTGCATTAGAATTACACAAAATACATGTATTGGTTGGATAGGAATGCACTAGGCAGAATTAAATATAAATATTTTAATTTGATATTATTTTTTTTAAACTGCCATTTTTTTATGCGTGAAAGAAACATCCAGAAATCGAAATTAATGTTTTATTTTCAGGTTTCAATGCTTTTAAATTCCACAACTTTTTTATTTTTGTTTATCTAGCTACAATAGTCTTGATATATTCTGCATATTCCCGATTTTAACCTAGTTGTCAATATTTCAGTGACCTGATGTACGTGGTGCTATACCCACAACTGGTGTGTGTATTTTAACCTAGTTGTCAATATTTCAGTGACCTGATGTACGTGGGGCTATTCCCACAACTAGTGTGTGTCTTGTGGGTGCCGTGGGCCAACACCTATGGCAGCTTTGCCGGGTTTCTCGTCTCATTCCTACTGCGGATCTTGTCTGGTGACGCTGTGCTACAAATTCCAGCGGCGATTAAGTTCCCTTTGTATGACTACAGCACTGACTCGCAATTATTTCCCTTTAGGTAACATCTAGTTTACGTATAAAAAATGTTTAGCTGTAAAATTGTATAGACCACACCATGGAACAAAGATTATATAATGTGTGTTCTAGAACCTTCTCCATGCTGTCTGGAACATTTTGCCTGTTGACCGTGTCCGGCCTGACCCACCTGATGTTCACCAGAGGTCTACTGGACCTGAAGTATGACGTCTTCAACTGCCACAAGAAACGATCACACAAAAGACACGATATGATTGACAGGGAAAAACCCGAGCTATTTAAAAAAGAGCTGCTCAGTTATGTTCCAACTTGAGGCTCTGTTAGGGTTGAACACAAGTTGGTTATTTCTGTTAGAATTTGAGCTAGTTTCTGTTTAAAAAAATGATTGCTCAGTGTTACTGAAAGTTAAGGTTTTGTTTGGGTTAAGAATGAAATGCTCAATGCAACGCGTAGAAGAGTTTTTGAATAGAATTAATATTTCTGTACTCGAATGTTTTTCTTCTAATTTTTAAATTGATGCTTTGTATAGTTTTTGTTTGACATGTGTACATTAACAATAAATGATGAAATACAACAAGCCTGAAATTTTAAATAAAAAAATAATGTTGTTGATAAAACTTTTAAATACATTGCCATCGGATAAGTTTATTGTGGTCTATACGGTTTGTATGATGAACCTGGTTTTGTTAATTTGAAAGTCGTGATTTCCTTACTTGGAGTTTTGTCTACAAAGATTGTGTTTTGTAAGTATAGGATGATGCTTGAAAATGGTTTTAGAACATGATTTAAAAAACCACAAAGTGTTGGGTTTTAATATCTAATTCTATTTTGTACCAATTAGATTTATTTTAAACAAACAGTTTTTTCTCCATTTTAGTGCATTATTACATAAAAGCTTGTTATTTGAAACTGAAAACTATGGCGCACCTAATGAACACGATAACGCGCGTAAAATCTTGCGGAAATAGTGTCACAAGTCTGCCCACTTTAAAAAAAAATTAATTCATACATATTTAATTAGGCATCCAATTAAGTCAAATTTGATGTCTGATTGCATTTTTTTCAAGACTTGAAACACGTGCCAAATTGAAACGAATCTGTCGGTTAAAAGTGCCCAAAATTTAGCTCGAGCGTTTTGATCTATCACGACAGACTGTTGACAGACAGAGGAAGCATGTTAAATAAACGTTTGTAAAAATCGATGATTTACGTTGTATTTTTATTTTATTTTTGTATTGTAAACTGGACAAATAGAAATCTTGATCCATTATTGATTGTAAACCAATAAAAGTTAATATTTGTTTCAACAGATCTATTGATTTAACCTTTAGTTTTCTAGCTCCCAGTTTATTGTTACAGTTATTTTTAATATTTTGAAATCGGTTTCTAATACCCAGGCTATACCGTATGCGTATTCCGTCGAACGGAAATTGCCTTTGATCGCTTGTCGGTAATGACCTCTTTTAGCAACCGTTTTCCAGTATCTGCTAATTTGGCTTTTATAATTTGGCTTTTATAACATTTTATAACATGTTTGCCATACAACTACAATACTAAGAGGGGAAAAGACAGCCTTTTTATAACATTATAGGGTACAATACTTTGTTCCAGTATAAAATTTTGGTGTTTTTATCATTAATGTATTAGTTCATACAGGATATCATTGTAAAAACATCAGTTTCTTAAATGAAATTTTAAGCTGCAGTATTAAAACCATACAAGTTTCGAAAATAAACGGGTTCAATGGGGAGGGGGATTTGAAGGGAGAGGTGCAAGCTTATAGTTAGTCCAGAGCCCCGGAAATAGATCGCTACGCCTAAGAAAATCGTTTAAGAAATTCGTCGAACATGCTAAGCTTGAGTTTTGTTTTGTAATTCATGTTAGAATTAAAAACAAATAGAGTTAAAAAATTTCGAGTAACTACAATTGGTTTGGAGACCCCTGGAATGGAATGTAGCTAAACGTCTTTTTTATTTTAATGCATTTGATTTTTGATCTGCCATCGATATCAGAGGGTGTGGCTAGAGATTCTGATTAAGATAGAGAGAAAAATGAACAAGTGGATTTCGATCAAAATATTTACATGCGTTGGTGCTATCTTAATGCTGAGATGTAAGTTATGTTTATTTAAAGATTTGAACATAAATTCATGTGTAGATAACTAATAAAAGTCTCTAAGCAGAGAACTAATCAAACAATCGTTTCTTAATGTTCGTGTATGAGGATGTCTTGATGTTCGTTTACAAGGAGGTATTGATGTTCGTGTATGAGGGTGTTTTGATGTTTGTGTATTAGAATGTCTATTAATTATTAGATTGTCAAATCAATTTTTTTTTTTAACTTTTGAAACGCACGTTTAATACATATGGGAAAAATATTGTGAAATTTTTGTTTTTTACAGGCAAACCAAATGGTGATGTTTACCAAAACTGTATGAGGGGAAACGTTCCTTTCTTCTGTGCTTTTGATGAAGATTGCTCTAATCTACATTATTTCTTGTGTGAGATCACCAACTTCCTCGAGTAAATGTAAACAAAACATCTAATACTGTCACAGGCTCCAAAATACACATCTTTCTGTAAATAAAGATGTGTACGGACAAGTGAAAGTTTACACTAACGTCTTAGATGGCAGTTATTGGAGCAGAATTGCTATACTATGAACGATTGGCATGTTTTTATCTTTGTGCAATCATTGTTCAGTTATATTTTGCTAATAAACTGTGTGTATTTTCTGACATTTTTGGAATAAATTTGTTACTAAAAATTCACAAAATTAACATTACAGGTTCCTTCATGCTATCTCATAAATATTCTGGGAAAATAAAAATCTACAAAATTCAGCTGTTATTTTAAACGCATATAAACTATTACTAAACACTACATTCCTTGCAGAACTGAAACAACGCTAAGAAAAAAAAACACGAAGGTTAAACCCCCTTATTTAAAATAAGAAATAACAGTATCATTATTTCTATATTTAACCTACATTGTTAACCCTATAAATCAAGAACGCATTTCGCGTTTGAATTTCAAATGTTATCTACATAGAAGCAGTAACTTGCATAATGAAACTATTTAAATTAACAGGATTAACACATCCACTTTGTGATTGAGCATTGGTAGCTGTTTCACACAACATTGTGTTTACCTTTGTTGAGGAAAACTGCTTCAGAGTTCATTACAAAGAGAACCATAATATGTGTGAATGTTTGATTTAGGGCCAAATACATATAATACGATCTACACTTTTAACACTCCAATTTGTTTGTATGTGTTTAGAATGTAAGAAATAAACAGCACGTGTTGGTTCGATTATAATTTAACTTCCATTGATTTTACACGTCCCTGAGTTTAATGTATGAGGTGAGATTAGGATTGTTGTCACGTCAAACCGATTATAGTCAGCACAGTGTACGTGTACATTAATTAATTGTCACCTGACGGAGCACGTGTACATGTCCGATAGGCTGGTGGTACGAGAGGGTTGTTGTACATTTTATGTACACAAGGAATATCCGGACTTTTTTTTAGAGGAAATCTAAATTTCAATTTTTAACAACAGAGGTAAGTATAAGAATCATTTAATTTATGTTAATATTGTATAGGCGCAGAGTTAAAAATAAGTAGCTTATTTATTTATGGTATATATGCAATAGCGAAAGATATTTTAACTCAGCTCTATAACATAAAACATACGTATTTTATACATGTATTTTTTTTACCATAGATTTCAGCTGAAGCAATGATCTTGACAGTATTTCATATATGCCTAGCTATAGCTGTTTGCCTTGATCAAATTTGTAAGTGTATTTAAGATATAAAAACATAGTTAAAAATAACGTGTGTTATTGGGTTCAAGTGTTATCTGTAAACTGCAATAAATGAAGCCGAATTTTAAAACTACATTTTCATACATGGGGTTGTAACAGTGCTTCATATTTGTTTATTGTGAGTAGTTGCAGGCATTACCGTTCAGGTTCTTGAGAGTTTAAATTTAGTCTTACTAATTGGGGGCTAGGCCTGGAGGAAGGAAAAGACGATTAACTGGACACTACAACACGCCATCCAGATTACCTGGCCACTGAAACATGTCATTCAGATTAACTGGACACTACATGTCATTCAGATTAACTGGCCACTACATGTCATTCAGATTAACTGGACACTACATGTCATTCAGATTAACTGGCCACTACTACATGTCATTCAGATTAACTGGCCACTACTACATGTCATTCAGATTAACTGGTCACTACTACATGTCATTCAGATTAACTGGCCACTACTACATGTCATTCAGATTAACTGGCCACTACTACATGTCATTCAGATTAACTGGCCACTACTATATGTCATTCAGATTAACTGGCCACTACTACATGTCATTCAGATTAACTGGCCACTATTATATGTCATTCAGATTAACTGGCCACTACTACATGTCATTCAGATTAACTGGCCACTACTATATGTCATTCAGATTAACTGGCCACTACTACATGTCATTCAGATTAACTGGCCACTACTACATGTCATTCAGATTAACTGGCCACTACTACATGTCATTCAGATCAACTGGCCACTACTACATGTCATTCAGATTAACTGGCCACTACAACATGTCATTCAGATTAACTGGGCACTACAACCTGTCATTCAGATTAACTGGTCACTACAACATGTCATTCAAATTAACTGGGCACTACAACATGTCATTCAGATTAACTGGCCACTACAACATGTCATTCAGATTAACTGGCCACTACAACATGTCATTCAGATTAACTGGCCACTACAACATGTCATTCAGATTAACTGGGCACTACAACCTGTCATTCAGATTAACTGGTCACTACAACATGTCATTCAGATTAACTGGCCACTACAACATGTCATTCAGATTAACTGGTCACTACAACATGTCATCCAGATCAATTGGCCACCATTACATGTCATTCAGTTTAACGATCACTACCACTTGTCATTCAGATTAACTGGCCACAACTGCCCATCACCTAGATCCGCTGGCCACAACTGCCCATCACCTAGATTAACTCGCCACCACAGCCCATCACCTAGATTAATTGGCCACAACTGCCCATCACCTAGATTAACTGGCCACAACTGCCCATCATCTAGATTAACTGGCCACAGCTGCCCATCACCTAGATTCACTGGCCACCACTGCCCATCAACTAGATTCACTGGCCACCACTGCCCATCACCTAGATTCACTGGCCACCACTGCCCATCACCTAGATTCACTGGCCACCACTGCCCATCACCTAGATTCACTGGTCACCACTGCCCATCACCTAGATTCACTGGCCACCACTGCCCATCACCTAGATTCACTGGCCACCACTGCCCATCACCTAGATTCACTGGCCACCACTGCCCATCACCTAGATTCACTGGCCACCACTGCCCATAACCTAGATTCACTGGTCACAACTGTCCATCACCTAGATTCACTGGCCACCACTGCCCATCACCTAGATTCACTGGCCACCACTGCCCATCACCTAGATTCACTGGTCACAACTGTCCATCACCTAGATTCACTGGCCACAACAGACCATCACCTAGATTCACTGGCCACCACTGCCCATCACCTAGATTCACTGGTCACAACTGTCCATCACCTAGATTCACTGGCCACAACAGACCATCACCTAGATTCACTGGCCACCACTGCCCATCACCTAGATTCACTGGCCACCACTGCCCATCACCTAGATTCACTGGCCACCACTGCCCATCACCTAGATTCACTGGCCACCACTGCCCATAACCTAGATTCACTGGTCACAACTGTCCATCACCTAGATTCACTGGCCACCACTGCCCATCACCTAGATTCACTGGCCACCACTGCCCATCACCTAGATTCACTGGTCACAACTGTCCATCACCTAGATTCACTGGCCACAACAGACCATCACCTAGATTCACTGGCCACCACTGCCCATCACCTAGATTCACTGGCCACCACTGCCCATCACCTAGATTCACTGGCCACAACAGACCATCACGTAGATTCACTGGCCACAACAGACCATCACCTAGATTTACTGGCCACCACTGCCCATCACCTAGATTTACTGGCCACCACTGCCCATCACCTAGATTCACTGGCCACCACTGCCCATCACCTAGATTCACTGGTCACAACTGTCCATCACCTAGATTCACTGGCCACAACAGACCATCACCTAGATTTACTGGCCACCACTGCCCATCACCTAGATTCACTGGCCACCACTGCCCATCACCTAGATTCACTGGCCACCACTGCCCATAACCTAGATTCACTGGCCACCACTGCCCATCACCTAGATTCACTGGCCACCACTGCCCATCACCTAGATTCACTGGCCACCACTGCCCATAACCTAGATTCACTGGCCACCACTGCCCATCACCTAGATTCACTGACCACAACAGACCATCACCTAGATTTACTGGCCATCTAATACATGTCATTCAGATTCTATTGTCCCCACCACATATCATGCAGGTTCACTGGCTAGCCAATGTTGTTTACACATATTTACTAACCAACCTGAACCATTAACATCAGTGTTTGACAAAGTACCGAGAGATTCCTGTCTAAGGATAAAACTATAGAGAAGTCATATTATGTTGCCATAGGGCCCATGTTGTGCATTGCGCCAAAACATATCACTAGACAGACAAGCGATCATGAATTTCTTCAAAACGAAATCAATTCAACATTAAATTATCTTAAAATCAATGTCAAATTATAGAATGATCGTGTCGTAAGCACAATGTCAATTTGAATCAAAATTGTGCCGTCTATGCGGGTGAACATTTCTACGCAAGTTTAGACCCATGTCGATTAATTAAAACTAAAGAATACGAATTTGAGTCGAATAAATGCTTGAAATATATACACAGGTGATCACCGTGTTAATAAAAACATTTGTTTTTCGAACATTGCAGGGCCAGTCACGGCAGTTGACTTTGAGGTATCCAACTTCCTGTATGTGTTGACGGGAAAGTACACTTCTACTGTTTCCCGCAGAGACGGGAAGTTTAAGCTGACCGATTACGAAGCCTTGGTCAGACCAGTCGAGGCGGGGAATATTGAACACCTGGTCAGAGTTGGCGGCGTCCACTCCCAGAATTTAACTACCATCTAATCTTTTAACAGAATGATTGTTCCACCTACCTCAAACACTTTTACAAGCTTTTATTTAACTTGCTTTCTCTGTCGCCATGTATAGAAACGGGCTAGCGAAATTTCGAGCACTTCTAACTGACCTAATTTGAAATGAATCGGTCATTTGGAGGTGCTAAAAATTTTGCCCGGCAGTTTCTATCTATGACGACAGACAGAAAGACGAGATAGACAGATAGATAGACAGAAGAAGCAAGTTAAATAAAAGCTTGTAAAAAATATTTCAGGGAATACCACTTTATTTTGAGGAGATCCAAAACAGAAAAGTAATTCGCAGAAGTCTTTTGGCAGTAACCGCTGAATATACCGGTTTGATTGTTCGCACCTACAATTTTACTCGCAAGCTTTTTTTTGGGTGAGTCTCATAAAACTAGCTCGTATTTTACCGACATTATTAAATGGTAACTGAGCGATACATTTTGTGTGATGTGAAACAATCAAATTTTGAGTCCTCTATGAAAATCGAAGACCACATTCTTCCAGCTTTAGAAACAAAGACAAAGTGGCTACACCGAAGACGGAACGAAGAAAGGACTGCCACACTATATAGCAGCTTATTATTATTTATTTAAAATTCACGGTTGAGGCCATAATCATTCACTTCAACGAATTTTTTTTTACTATTATTGTCCACACGTTTTCTATAAAAACAGCCTTCTCTACTGGTATTGTCGGTCATTCATCCTGTCTATAAAATAAACAGCCTTCTCTACTAGTTAATTATCTATCTCTCAGCCTTAAAAACAAACAGCTTTCTCTACCGCTATTGTCGGTCATTCATCCTGTCTATGAAACAGCCTTCTCTACTAGTTTATTGTATGTCAGCCAGCCTGTCTAAAAACAAAAAACCTTCTCTACTAGTTTATTATCTGTCATTCAGCCTCGCTGGTCCGCCTGCTACGTTCTTCGAAGAACTGACTCTCGATGACATCACTGGACTCGAACACTGCGCCATCAGGCTTACGTCCATAGACATTCAATCTACGGTTTTTAGCGGTACCTACCCACTGTGCCACGTGAATCTTTGGGTGAGGGCTCTGGCCTGTTCTTTTACCGATAGTTTTATTCCCAATAGACCAATGTGAGATCAACACAACTGATGCACACATGACCACGAATATGATAGCTGATCAAATTAGAACCGGAGGTTTTGAGGCAAACTTATTCCATACACAATCATCATACATATACACTACACATACGACACCTAAATATATAGAAACACATGAATACAAACATACATACAAAACACGTATGTATATATATTTATTAATAAATATATATATGTATTATATATATATATATATATATATATATATATATATATATATATATATATATATATATTAATAATATTTATTAATATTTATTAATAAATATATATATGTATATATATGTATATATATATATGTATTATATATATATATATATTTATATATATATATATATATATATATATATATATATATTTATTTATTTATTTATTTATAAATAGAGTCCACCTATATACAAGATGACATGGAACTGTAGTGCAATCGAATGGATAGTTCAGGACATTTCACGAGGAAATACTAGGACAGATCCGAAAGCTGCTCGAATTTACACTTACAAAAACTATGAAAAGTGAGGACGAAATATTTGCTCTTCCATTCTTTCAAATAACAAAACAAAACGTTCAGCAATTGACAGAGCAGCATCTTTATACCCCATACGTATTTTGTCTTTTCACCAACTCTAATATTAATTAACTGAAAACACGACGTACGGGTATAGATTCATGAACGTGAAAACATTGTCGTCACCTGGATTTCATACAAAATCTGTTCTTTTAATCTACAGCAATGTTTAATTTACGGTGCTAATTAAATTTTATTACACAGAGATATTTGTTCTAGCTAGACTAGAATCAACAAAAATAAATTGACCCTTTCTCAACGTGAATGGTTGGATTAGCTTTTCACCCATTGTGCAAGGGGGTGTTTTGCTGTCCATTTCCAATGCAGTCTTCAATCGTGCTCACTAGCTGAAAAAACACTTCGACCAACACCTTGACTTTTGCAACTAGTTTCGAGCCGACGAAAAAACTCCAGACGCTTTTAAGTTTCTGAATCTTTCATCTTTTAGTGACGGTTGAGTTTCGAATGTTTCACAGACTCATGACAACAAAGTTCCATACTAAAAAAATATATAATTTCTATTCCATTGCTTGTCATTTTAGTAAAGCCAATTTGTTTAGTTGACTGTAGAAGTTTGCGACCATTCAGATGGGGTTGCGGCACACATGTTGATAACCCGTGCTCTAGGCATTAAATAATGTCTTTGTTACAGATACGAATTCTCGAACTGTTCTAACAGGGAGTTTTTCTGTTATTGCAGGTATGAGTCCCCAGAAAATTATAACAGGTTTCAAAATGATAAAAACCCGTGCCACCAAAGAGGGGACTTCACCAACAGATGGTAACACATACAGTGATGAAACCCCTGCATCTCTGACAGACATACAGACATACAGACTGACAGACATACACACTGACAGACATACAGACTGACGGACATACAGACTGACAGACATACAGACTGACACACATACAGGCCGACAGACATACACACTGACAGACATACAGACTGACGGACATACAATCTGACAGACATACATATACATACATACAGACCGAAACACATACAGACATACATACATATAGACAGACCTACTGACCGACAAACATAACGACTGACATAAATACAGACATACAAACATACAGACATACAGACTGACAGACTGACAGACTGACAGACTGACAGACTGACAGACATACAGACTGGCTAACCTACAGACAGGCAGACATACATATACATACATACAGACCGAAAGACATACATACATACATACATACATACAGACAGACCTACTGACCGACAAACATAACGACTTACATAAATACAAACAGACAGACATACTGGCCGACAGACATTCAGACAGTCTGTCATTTAGGTCGACATATATACAGACCAGCATACACACAGAAAGACAGACGTACCGAAATACATACAAACCAACAGACTTAAAAACCGACAGATTTACAGACCGACATACATACACTTAATAAAATGATGTTGAAAGAACGTGAGCAGTTTTTGTTTAACAAAGCATGTGTGCACTTTTTTTTTCTAACAAGTTGGTAAAAATGGTGATTTTATCTTAAAAATTATATGAAAACTATGTTTATTGTAAATTTAATCTTATCCATGAAAGGATGAATACACATATATCTAAATACATTATTTCCAAAAATGTCAAGTAAATTAGATAGCTTTAATAAAGGCAAGGTAAAATGTGTTTATTTATCTGTTGTTATACAACAGTAATCTACAATCCGGAATGATGAAAGTAAATTTAGCAAAATAAATAACAACAAGAATGATATTGTCTAGTTTTCGTCACGCATTAAGGATAATATAGTCAAATGGTTTGCAGTTAGGACCAACACAAACAATGTAAGAATTATCAAGGTTGAAACTAAATAGTCAGACATATTACAGTGTTCAAATACATTTTCTTTTTTTTTCTTGTAGAAACCATCCCATAAGTATTTTCATAAACTCCCTAAAGTTTCAAGGCACTCTGATGAACGGTGCCGAACGCATCCGACTTTTTTCTTTACATACTGTACATAGAGAAACATCGCACACTTTGGGGCGCTGCCCTTGCGAGATCAATTTAAAAAAAAAATTCCTAAGAAATATTCTTAAAAAAATATAGGTACTAGACCATAATCTCAGTAAACACTACATTTAATTCATTTTATAAATGAAAACAAAATATAATTACAATGTTAAACTATTAAAATAAATAGCATTCAGAAAATAAATTAGCCTCTAAAGTAAATATAGTACTTTACATGATTTAAAATGTGTATCTTACTAAATAGCAATACGATTTTAAGTTTTTAACAAAAAGTCATATATAAAATACATGTGAGCTTTGTTAATTGAAATTAAACGTCACCCTACACACGAAGTAGAGTTCACCTGTTTTAGTGACCTCGGCATTTTAAGGGGTAGTGTGGTCAGCTCTTAGTCCAGCCGCTTTTACTTTCCGTAACGCGAGTCAGCTACCCATCGTAGCTTGGTAGACTCAACGACGTCCTACGCACTCAAGCCCCGGCTAGAAACTCGAGGCTTTCAGGTTAGCTGTCTCACGCTCTACTATTCGACCATGCGTTCCTTGTTAATGTTGGTACATTCAATTTTAAGATGTTGCATTTTCAAAACACAATGTACCTCACATGTTTTGATAACATATACACCTTTAAATATTGAATTCCAATATTTACATTAAAGAATGCTATAATTAGCGAATGTTACATTATTAATTTAATTACTATTTAATGTATCCATTGTTTACAGAAATAAGTCTTTATTTTAGACTGAATTTAATATTTACTTCATTAAAGCAGTAAAAAAATAAAACGAATTGTGGACATCAAACATTATTTCTAATGTAACTTTAGAAATTACACAGTAAAATGTTGTTTTTAAAATCAGTTTACCAGTTATAAAGAACCTTACAGCATCGTTTAAATTTTCATTTAAATAGTATTGGGCCATTTCATCTATTGTATTTTGCATTGCTGGCCAAACTGCTCAATATTATAAATGTTACCGTGGCTAGGCAAGTGGAAGATAGCTGTAATTAGCCGAGCACGTTGATTTACCTTAACTTCAGGATCGGTGCTTACATTATCGAACAAAACTATTCTTTTATTGCAATCTTTGTACATGCTTGCAAACTCACCTGTCTGACTCTCACACCAATCTTCAAACGTACCAGAAGGGTTTTGTTTATAAAATTCATCCCCGCCGCTCATCACTATGATAACATGCTCATTTACGAGCCTATTTTCATACGTACTTTTCATTTTTTTAAACATATAAGTTTCATTTTCTTTACCGTATCTCACAACATAAATGACTACATGGATCAATGTGTTATTAATAACACCGGATAAAGGATCCGATACCTTGTGTACAGGATCATAAATATGTAGGAAAACGTCATCGATAACGACAGTACAGTGCTGAGTAGTAGCGTCGCTGCCCTGGGTTACGCCAAATGTGTTACATCTAATGATGGAATTCCCAGTTGAACTTTTCCCAACTCTACTGGCGCCGTTTAGAAAGACGTTGATCTCATATCTTAGCTGTAGTGTAGGCAATTAAAAAACTTCCTTTTATTTAATGGGATAACATAATTCTTTCATTAACTGGTTATCTTTCTGACATTACTTTAATATAACATGCAGTATTTAGAAAGATTTTTTTTTTACTTTAACATTCAATGCTGCTTCATGATATTAAAAAATCATACAATCTATTTGCATTCATAGCAATAATTTAGAATGCTACTTTGTGTTTCGAACTGGCTTATATGTACGATTTTTCTGGATTTTTATATTAAGAAATTATGAGTAGGTATTTTTAAAGCATTTAGATACAAATATACATATAACATTTGAATTTGTGCTAAATTTTTTAAAAGTAAAAAAAAAAAAAATTATCAACTAATGTAAAAAAATACCGTACCGTTGATGTTTTCCATTGTAATTTGCATATATCTTCTTTTAAAGCGACAAACTGTAAAAAAATCGAATAATTTTGTAAGGATATTTAGATAGATACTTTGTGACCGAACGAAAAATGATAAGACGTTAATTGTGCCGTCAGAACACCAATAGAAATTATGGAGCTCCGCGAAGGCCGTTGCTGACATCGATTCCTCGAGTCGCTTGTACATAACCAGTTCAGTCCGAATATGACTACACATTTGTTTCTTTAGTTATTTCAGTTATTGATATTTTTTAATGAACTAATAATACCATGTTCAAAGTAACACCTAAAAATCTAACATGGATATATCCAACGGGAAAAAAATGACCTTACGTAATTGAATGATATAATTTAAATATATTTTATATTTATATGGGCAATTATCAATGTTTAATAACACATTTACACGATAATAACATACAGTTTTATATTTACGGAAACATGTTTACATACTTGAGAAGAATTTTCCAGGGGTTTCATTTCGTTGGTTTGTAAATCATCACACATTTGTTTTAGTTGATCAACCTAAAGAAAGATTGCCTTATAAATTAAAATGTAAAATTTTAATTTTTAAATTTTACCTTTAGGCCTGCATATATTAAAAATAAATATCTTTATCTATTTGTATATAACAAACTATTTTATTGCACGGGTTTTATAAAATGATTTAAAACAATTTAGCTAAATTAAGATAAATGTTGCTATGTATTTTTTTTTAAATGTAGGTTTTCATTTACATTAACATATTATGTTTATGACATTCCTTATAATTCAAAAACACAGTGTAGCAAAAGTGACTTACTTTCTTCCCAAACTCTACATAGGAACTCTCTGTTTTTGAAATATGTTCTTTTGTAGATTGTTGTAAATATGAAAGTTTATTTGTCTCTTTACACACATCTCGTATTATTTCTGTTGTGACCTCATTAATTTTCTTCAGTTCTAATTTGATATGTTCTTGTTCTTCATCACTAGATTTATTTTTTTCATTTAACAATGCTAATTCTTTCATAACAAAGTTTATAGAATCTCTTTGCTCAAGTGAAGGGTGAAAAGTGTCTTTTAAAATCTCCAATTGAGCACGCAGTTTTTTCTCATTTTCTAAATACAATTTTTTGTCAGCTTCTTGCTTCTCGCTTTGCTTTTCAATAAACTTATAATTATTTGCTTCATTGTTTTTAAGTGCATCAAGTTCATTTTGAAAGCTGCATAAAATCTTGATAATTTCATCATTCTGCTTGTCAAGCGTAATGTTTAAATCATTTTTCAATGTTGAAATCATGTCTGTTGTATCTGGGTTTAATAGAAAGAGTAAAGTTGAAAATAAAAACCAAGGGCTCAAAATTATCATTATCAGTGATGAATTTTCTAAAGCTTATTTAAACCTATAGTTTGTTCATTTAAAGATGTAAACAAGACAAAACATGCATTCTGTTTTTGCGCTATGTATGAATGATTTAATATAATTTAAGATATAAGAGAAAAATCCTACCTTTGGTTTCATTAGAGAAATCAAAATGGTTTTCTTCTGTTAACTGTTCAGCGGTTTTGCCTAAAAAAGCAAATAAAATTAGCTGTCTAAACAAGATACATTTTGAAAGGCAAACTTTGTTTAGTGAGGTATTTTATATGAGTTATATTAACTATCAGAATAAGGATAAAATATATAAGTATGTTATCGTAACAATGCTTTTCGGTATGTTATTTTGTATACAATTTATTATGATTCAATACTAATTTACGAGTGATACCACTAAAAAGAAGATTTCAAATCCACTATTTATCTTTTAGCTATTGCGTGAAATAGCCGTGCGTTATAGGTATAGTTTATAGTTATAGTCAAATTATTATGATTCAATACTAATTTACGAGTGATACCAATAAAAAAAAGATTTCAAATCCACTATTTATCTTTTAGCTATTGCGTGAAATAGCCGTGCGTTATAGGTATAGTTTATAGTTATAGTCAATTTAACACACAATAGAAATAAGAGTGAGATAATTAATTAAGGAATGAGAGTAGTAAAGTAATTATATTAGTGTAAGATACCAATTTCTTTATCAAACACATCGTATGTATCCACCAATAAAGCGGTTGCTGCATCAATTTTTTCACGAATGTTAGATGTATCTCCTTCCTGTTCTCCTCTCATCCATTGTCTTGTATCTTCAACGATCTTTGCCATACAAAAAATTATGCTTGCAAGATTGCCATGGTAATTTATAGTTATTTAAAATTATTTAAAAATATGTTTTGTAATATATCTTAGGTAAATGTTGTAGTAATATTATAACAAAGTTAAAAAACAGGAAAATTTTTTCTTTTAAAAAGTAGCAGTATTAAATTTAAGTACCTTCTTTGTGTATTCGGATATCTTCTCTTGTAGTTGCGTTTTCTCTGCTTCCAACATCAGTAGTTTTTGATTAAGGAAGGATCTTTGCTTTTGTGAGACGCAAGCCATTTGCTATGTCTAATGTCTCTAGTAAAAACAAAAGAAAATCGACATCGTATTAACACTGAATTTCCTTAAAAAAATATAAGTTCCTTAGTAAAAATGCATGTGTTAAAGTAACCAAAAGTAAACAAACTAAACTAAAACAATAGAACACACTTATCCAAGAATCGGCCGCATTCCACACCTAGTTCAGATAACGCTCAACCAGATTAGTCCTATTAAATCACAATTAATTATAAACAGTTCAAATGTAGGCCTGTATTTATAGCTTTACGTTTTTTCATCTCTTATCATGTATTTGTTTACATATTATAAACTAATGACCTAATTCTTTGTTGAGAGACGTAAAAATAAACAGGGGGTAATCTTCCCTAAACTTTCTCAAATATTCTTATATAACACTACGGGCAATGGCACCTCGGAGTATAGATATGATTTTTAATTCATTTTTGATTACTTGAACTTTTAAAAATAAAATAGGATCTCATAGAAAAAAAAATGCGCACCAAGTGAACGCCAAAAAATATGTGTATAATAGTGCGGAATATTATTAGTACTTTATTGATTCGCATTTGTTTTATTTTGAGAAAACGGAAATAGCGTAAATTACTACTTCCGGTCAATGGAAATTACTCAAAATTTGTTACAAGGCAGAGAATTAGACAATTTGTTTAGATGTGAAATTTCATTTATTTATCTTAAACAGTAATCAAGGTATATGCTTTTGAAAAACCAAAAGTATAAAAAGTTCCACTTCCGGTTACCGGAAATCGCTTAAAGTTGACACAGAGCTGCACATTTGATATAATACTTGTATATGAAATTTCACCAACCTAGCTGTAACGGTACTCAAGTTATCGTGTTCACAGACATACACACACACACACACAGACATACAGACTGATTTGAAAAGCCCAGTTTTTCCGACTTAATTACGCATAGGACACCAACATTTTGATAAATCTGCATTTATAATTTTTGCCCGATTAAGATAAGTCCCCTATACTCCGTATATGGTGAAGTACGGAGGTGTAAAAGGATAAAAAACATGTCGAATTTGCACGTAATTTTTGTGCACGATTACAATACTTCCTCTATACTCTGTAAACGGGAAAGAAAAAGACTGAAACAATCACACTCGTTCTCATGCGACAATATGTATAGAAAGATTGTATAATTTGAGCTAGTACAAGAAGCAGTTGAAGTAGAGTTAAGTTGTTTCTTCCAACATTGCATGCAAAGGGAAATCGTGCAAGACACTGTTCAGCATTTACTTTCCCCGACTTATTTCATAAGAGCTGAGTTGACTCATGTAACACATGAATCGATCTAGAATTGTTCAGGTCGTATGACAATTGTACAACACATGCTATCATAAAATAGCTAATATTTTCATAAGTCTTCTTAATGTCCTAGTCACGATTATATAGAAAAACACAACAATGTCAATCAACATTTGTAATAATGCAATGTTCTACCTTACTTTCAGATATATCTTTATCTTTGGTATGCGCAGATAACCAAAATAGCTTTATTAATTATGTGATACGATTATTATGATAACAATGTCACTGCGTGACGACATATTAGAAACAGATATATTTCATGCCATGTTGTTTTGTAAGCTCAAACACATTCCGGACCCTTCGGAATATCACCGCTCCGTATAAGTTCGGCAATTAACTGACTTCTTTTAAATAGAGATTGATATCGAAAATAAAATAAAAATAAAACGTAATTTGCAATGAACCACGCACTAAATAAACTACGAAAAAACAAATATAGGATATATAACAAAATCGTGTTAACTTTTAAAAATAAATAACTTTGAGTAAATAACATCAGGAGAAATCAATTTAAATAATGAGCTACGTATTGATACTACTCTTTAAAATACATATCGGTATTATAAACCATCCACTAGGTAAGCAATCAGAACAACAAGACTAATTAATAAATTCAAGTTAAACTTGTATATGATTTAAGAAGTAAATGTGAGTGATTTACATTGGATAATTTCAAACGGTAATGTATTATTATCAATGAGATTTTAACAAGCAGCTGTAAAGGTGGATAACTTGAGT